TACCCTCCAGTTCCATCCACGTCGTTGCAAATGGCAAGATCTCATTCCTTTTGATGGCTGCATAATATTCCATTGTATATATATACCACATCTTCTATAGTAATGAAATCAAGTGGAAACCTTTGAAACTTCCTCCACCCATCAGGAGAAAAATAAAATATATATAGCATCCCTGGATCCATTTGGCAATGATTTATACTACTTTTAAAGAGCTAAAGTATATAGGAAAGACAAGTCCCATTCATATCTCTGCTTAATTTTCCAGTCTGGCTACTGAGGAAACTGGATGAATCATGGAGAATGACTATAAACTACTACAAGCTCATCCAGGTAGTATCCCCAATTGCAGTTATTCTGCCGGACATGATACCATTGCTAGATCAAAATAGTAAGACCTCAAATACACTGATTTTGGCAACTAATTATTTTCTATTTAATCAGAAAAGAGAAACAGAAAACCGTTTTCATTCATATGAGACAGACAATATTCATTTATTGTTTTGCTCAGGGCTATGTTAAATCTCCCATTCTTTTTCATAACATAGTCCAAAATATTCTGGAAAACCTGGATACCCCATAGAATATTATATCAATGGCATTATGCTGATGAGGCAGGATAATAAAAAATGTGAATAATATGCTAGAAGGCTTTATTAAGGCGCATTTATTTCAAGGAATGGAAGATAAATCCTAGAAATATTCAGGGACTTGCAATTTCACCAAAATTTTTGTCCAGCGGTCAAAAACATGCTGAGACATTGCTCCCTCTACAGAAAAGAAAAAAAAAAAGCTATATCTTGCATTTATTACTGAAGAGAAAGAAATACAATGTTTGATGGGCTTCTTTGGATTCTGGAGCAACATATTCTACACCTAAGAATACTGCTCCATTTGATTTACTGGGTTACACTAAAGGGTGACAGATTTCAGTGGGACCTTCAAACTGAAAAGGGCTTGACAGCAAGTCCGAGTTGTGGTGTCAGTAGCCCTGCTGCTTGTGGCACATAATAAAGAAAACACTATGGTTTTGGAGGTGTCAGTGATAAGGAAAGGTGCAAGGTGGAGCTTATGGCAGGTTCCAATGTGAGAATCTCAATGCAAGTCCTTGGGATTCTGAAGTCCATGCCATTTATGTTTGAGAATTATATGTCCTTTAACAGACAGCTCTTGACATGGTACTGGGCCATAATAGAGACAAAATGCTATACAATGGGGCACCAAATGATTATGAATCCAGAATTGCCAATTATAAGCCAGATTCTGTTGGACCTACCAAATCAAGAAGTCATGCCGGCCCAGTAGCTATCCATCATAAAAAGGACATGGTCATTCTGGGATCAAGTCCAGGCAGAACCAGAGATTATAAATAAATTGTATGAATAGGTTACATAGACCCCTATGTCATCCAACATACTTACCTTCCCTCAGCTTGCATGTATGAATATTTGAATGAGGAGAGAAAGCCTGAATTTGGTTTATAAATAAGTTGGTTCAGTATGTAGGTTCAAGCTATAAATATATGGCACCTACATTACAGCCACACTCAAGGATGATCTTGAAGGAGTATAGCATCCAACCAGAGGATTCACTTCACAGGAAAGGAGGTGTGGGAGTGAATTTCTGACCAAGAGATTCACTGGTAAATTACATATTGCACTATCAAGAAGCAGCTGCCCTCAGAAAGAGCTTGAATGATTTACTGAAGGCCCAATAAAGTGTTAGCTTGGAGGCAACACTGCAACACTGAGTGTCATTCTTTAAGATACAATGTATGCATGAAAACAGCAACTTCTATATAATGTTGTGTCTTGAATAGGAAAAACACATGTGCTTATATATCAAGGGATATCCTCAGGAGTGGCCTCACTTACCATCACTTGCAATGGCTCACTGGGGGCTTGTGTTCTTGTTGCATCAGCTCTGGCCAGTGCAGTGTTATAAATCCTAATTCCCCCCAAAGGGACATATTCTTGCCAGGGATACAGTAATAGTCCCATTGAAGTACAGGTTATGGCTGCTGCCAGGGAACTTTGAACTCCTTATGTCTAGGGGCCAGCTGTTGTGAAGTTTGGATTCCTTTTGTCTAGAGGTCAGCTGTTGTGAAGAAGAGTTACCACCTTGACAGGGTAATTTAGCCTAATGAGCAAGAAGAGGTAGAGTTCTTTTGCACAATATAAGAAAAAGGGAATATCTGTGGGAGCCACATGATCCACTTGGACTCCCTTGCCCAATTTTTACTATGAATGAGGTTTGAAAGAAGTATGATTATTAGGGGCTCAGACTCTTCAGGAATCCAGTTTGAAATCATATCACCAGGTAAGGCAGCAAGACCTATAGAAGCAATAGCTGAAGATGAGGGGAAAGACTGGACAGTGTAGGAGGTCATCCACTTGTGGCCCTAAGATTAACAGCAGTGATGAAGCTATCATTTTTCCATTTCTTTTAAGTTTCACCTAAGGAGAAGCCCACAGGAACTTTGGAGGAGTGAGTACAGATAGGAGTGGATCTGTGTAGTGACAGTCATGGGAGTTTGCTGATTAGATCTCACTTCAAGAAAGTTTCTGCTGTGAAGAGTGTAGTTACTAGATAGCCTCAAGCTACTGCAAATTTGAGATTCACCAGTGTGTAAGCCAGGGCTACTCTTTCACTGGATTACTCCCAGCTAGTGATTTAGCACTGTGGGTGTACTAAGTCCAGGATATTGCTTAACAACACAGACTCCTCTAAAGAGCAGTATCTGTTTGGGACTCCTCACTGGTCTGGTTGAGCCTTTCTCTGAGCATAGTCTGAGGCTCTTCCTTCCCAGCTTTCCTTTATCTTTCTCCTTTAATGTGGGTCAGAACTGCATGGTAATCTGAAGTTTCTCCCCACCTACTATTTCTCCTTTTCTCTTTTAGTCTTCACCAGTTTCGCTTAATAAGTATTTTACACTTTTCATTATGCCTTAGCTTTGAATTCCTGGAGGATCACTGGTGTTCTAGGGGAGAAGGCCAAAGAGACATTTCAGGTGGAGGGTGAACTGTGTAGCTGCCATTTACCAACTGTTTTGGAAGTATTTTACCAATAATTATAGAGCTATCTTTGCATACTGGATGAATATCAGTATTGGGTCTAATTTCATCCCTGTTTCTCATTTATTTATTTCTCCAACATCACTTGTTATTTATAGGTAATTGTTTTTATTATTTTGTTTCCTTCCAGAGTTTCTTTAAGCAATGACAGGTAAATACACACACACACACACACACACACACTTTCTTTTCCTGCTTTTTAAAAAATACCATAGCTCATACAGCATATACTCTGTTATTCACCTTGATTTTTTTTCACTAAAACTTAAGTCAGAGATCTTTCCATCCCACTACATAGAGCTTCTTTATCCCTTTTCACATTCACATGTCATTCCATTGCAAAGAAGTAGTTATATATTCAACCAATCACTTATTAACAAATAATTGGATTGTTTTTAAACTTTTCCTATTTACCATGTTGCAATAAAAAAACTTTTATGTGTCACTTAGGACATGTGTAAGGTTATCAAATGGGTTAGAAAAATGACACCTCTTTACGAATTGGATCTGAAATCTGAGTAAATAGAAGTCAAGATTATAACAAAAGGCAGAAAACAGACTGGATGCAATGAAGGTCTTCATATTTATATCTGTCTATAACTCTATCTGTATATTCATCATTGCAATAGATTGGATGTTTGTCTTTTCCCAAAATTCATATGTTAAAATCCTAATTCCCAATGTGATGGTATTCGGGTGGGGCCTAATACCCCAAAAGTAGGACCTTTTGGGGCTTTGGGGGAGTAGAGTCCTCAGAAATAGAATTAGTGCTTTTATAAAAGAGGACCCAGAGCTCCCTAGTCCCCTTCCACTATGTAAGTGAGAAAGGAGGTCTATGAACCAGAAAGTGGGCTCTCACAAGACCCTGAACTTTTTGATGCCTTCATCTCAGACTGCCCAGCCTCCAGAACTGTGAGAAATAAATTTTTGTTGTTTATGCACTACCCAGTTTATGGTATTTTTGTTATATCAGTCTGTACACAGACTAAGACATCTATCTATCATCTATCTATCTATCTATCTATCTATCTATCTATCTATCTAATCATCTATCTATCTATCATCTATCTATCTATCTATCAATCATCTATCTATCCATCTATCCAATATATCATCTTTCTTTCCACACCCCTTTCTTGCTCTCAGGAATAAATGTGACAAGCATATTTCTGGAAAATGTAAAATAATTGACAAATGTGCATTATTCTTTCAGGGTAACTTGCAGCTTATTATTAAGTAAAGTGATAAGCTAAAAAAGTGTCTAAAGGTAAATGATTACATTTAGAGGTCTGTATATGTATGGAGAAGTGGTGGTTACTGTCTACATATAGCTCTCTATTTCTTTTAAGGGCGTAAAATATCTGGTTCCTTCCCTCCATTCTTTGTTTACTTTTTCTTAATGCTAAGTAAAAGATAGATAAAACAAAACATGATAGGGTATCCAAAGGAAGATTGTTAAGTTTTCACTTAAACTCAGATATGGTTTCCAAATTAAAGTTTCAGAACATGGGGTAAAATGCTACAGCAATTTGGCTTGAGTATTTCAAGTACTTAATAAACAAAACATATAACTCTAAAATCACCTCTATAAATTATATGAAAAAATCAGCTCCTGGGACTCATGGAAGACTTGTTTTTATTTCTTACAGTTCCACAGAAGTAGAAATGCTCATCTGAGAGTAGCCAGTATTTACTGTGGTAAGGCCATTCTGTGAAACCAAGTGCTCAGTTGTTTTTTAAAGCAGCTTATGAATCCACTTTGCTTCAGGCTGAAAAATAAAGTAAAAAAAAAAGAAAGAAAGAAAAGAAAAGAAAAAGGGAAATTTTATTTATCTTAATTATAGAGAGTTCCTGTTTTTTGAGAGACCACACCAAAACACATAATGTCATAAGTGAAAGGGAACTTGGATATCATTTTTATTTCTTATTAAAAATGCAGGTCCCTGAACCCTACCCCAGACTTACCCAGTCAAAGTCTGAGATGGAATCAGCAATTTGCATGTTCAACAACTTCCCTGAGTGATCCTAATGTTCATTAAAAGATGAGAAGTACTGAATATTCATCCTACAACTAGCATTTGTGTAGGAACCAAGTCCTATCAATGTACATTATGCGTCAAAGATCTCACAGCTATTTTAAAGGACTAGAACATTTAAAATTGAAAATATAATATAAAACCACAAAATATATTTAAAATAACTGATAGTCATTCCAAATTCTACCACATTAATGTAATTATATTCATATTTGCATATCACTGTCTATCTTTGTTCACAAACATGCAGATTTTTGCTTAGTTGTGATACCATAGTATTTTTTCCTGTTTCAGTCTCTTAACTTTTCCCTTTAATTATCAAGGTTTTATAATTATCATCTCAATGAATGCATACTATTATATGTATTATATTTTACTAAATCATTCTCCTAATTGTATATATTTAGCTTAATTCCAAAGTTTTTCTGTTACAGACAGTATTGCAATCAGTCTTTGTTCCAAGAGTTTGTTTTTCCTTCTGCTGATATTTTTAATACAATACATTTTAAGTATTGAGATTATGAGTCAAATAGTATTGCTTCATTTATGACTCTTCCTTCATAGTTCCATATAATTCTAGAGGAAGGTTGAACCAGTTTATATTGTTCCTCTTTTGCAGTCAGCAGTGAATAAATGTGCCACCATCCCTAAAGTATGTAAGATATACATGTAGGATATTTTACATATATAATACATATAAAAATTTTAATATTTATATATTTTAGGTATATATCATTTTATTTTTATTTCATTATTAAATGAGAAATTATCTCATAAGATTACTTTGATT